GCGTTTTTTTTTTTTTTTTTTTTTAATGTTCTCCCCAGGAGGAACCATTTCAGAAAGGTCTGTTCTGTCCTCCACCCTCACACCCCAGCTCTGTCTCAGCTCTGGGCCCCTGTAGCTGAGAGGGATGGAGTGTTTTGGTGGGAAGTGATGAGGAACCCAGACCCTACCTGAAGCTTGGAACACCCCAGGGCAGTGGCTCAAGGAGAGGGGAGGCCTGTGCCTCTCCCCTGCTCCTGCCTGTGAAAGGTGGCCCCAAGATGCCAACTGGCAGAGGCCAAGGCCCTGGTTACCCCATGACAGACACAAGGGAGCAAGTCCTGGCACATCTACATTTATTCAGGTGGTGCAAGGGTGGCAGTGACTGTTGCAGCCATCTGCCTCCATGCTCCAGCAGGCAGGTGGGGGCAGGACAGGGCTGGCAGGTGGGCTCCAACTACTCGTGCTGGCAAAAAAAGAAACAACACAGAAGAATGTGGGTGAACCCCTGGCTGTGGAGGCAGGGAGCGCTGCCACCCCGCAGCGCCTGGCACCGGGGGCAGCCGAGGACAGCAGTGCCAGGCAGAATGAAGCCAAGGGCTGCAGAGCTGCTCCCTGGCCCCAGGGCTGGCAGGGGGCCTTGCCTGTGTCCCCCTGCCCAGGGTGGGTGGACTCACCTTGGACACGATGACGTCCCTGGTGCGGGCGCGCAGCTTGTTGACCTGCGTCTCGGCGATGTCTGCGCGCTCCTCCGCGTCGTCCAGCTCGTGCTGCACCTTGCGGTACTTCACCAGGTTGGAGTTGGCCTGCTGCTCCTGGGGGGGGGTGAGGGAAGAGGGGGCATGTGGGGCACAGCCAGGACACCACCCACATGGCCACTTTCCCTCGCAGCCATCCCCAGGAAGGGCAGCACCGGGAGGGGACGGGCACTTACCGCCTCCTCGAACTGGCGTTTGTAGCTCTTGACCTTGCTCTGCAGCTTGTCAATCAGGTCCTGCATCCGTGCAAGGTTCTTCCGGTCTTCCTCAGCCTGCAAGTGCCCCAGCCCCCTTAGCAGAACCCCAGCAGACTCCCCCTTCGCTCAGGCTCTGCTGCCCCAAGAGCCTCAGAGTGCCAGGGCCCATCACACACAACCCATCCCGCTGACCCTGGTCCCCCAGCACCTCGCTTGGGATGTGCCAGCAAAGGGACAAAAGACCCTGA